ATATACATAGAGTAACTCCGCCAATCAGAAATTCAGAATTATATCCATAGTATTCACATACAAACAAAGTGCGTCGTAAAATGTTGACGTTTGTACAGAACTATCGGGTGGTCACAAAAAAACCGGAAGTTTTAATTTTCCTCGTGGTTTCATCATTTCTCAACCGAATTCGAATTTCTTGGCGTCGTTTCATAGCTAAAGGGCTATAGTATACAGTAGAATATTTGAAAATTCCATAATGAACAAAACCGAAATGGCGGATTCTACCAAAGTATTGTCATTTACAAAAACCGCTGGAGAAAAAGATAATCAGATTTCTTCCAACCTGTACCGATGTCATTTTAGGCTATTCATTTCTGAAGAGAATGAGTACTCGAACATCGAAATCGAACGAATAGTCCAGTAGATACACTCATTTCTTTGCAATTTGTTAGGTAGTGAATGTGTGAATCTCGTATAAACGATTATTATCATTTTGCTTCAGGCTTCATGAAAATTCAATCGAATTTGGATTTCTTAGAGTTATTTCAAAGATAAAGAACTGTAGTACAATGGAACATTTGAAAATCTGATAATTGAAAGAAACAAAATGGTGGAGAATCCAGAATTTTTGTGATTTTCAAAAATCTCTGGCGAATAAAAAAATGTTCATTCTTCCAATCAGGACCGATACAATTTTAGATCATTGATTCCTAAAAAGAATGAGCACTCGAACATCTGAATCGAACAATTAGTCCAGGAGAAACACGTTCTTTTTGGCAAAGTGTTATGGAGTGAATGTGCCATCCCGTGATAAGAATTACTTTTAGTTTGCTTCTGGCTTTATCGGAATTCGATCGAATTTGGATTTCACTCCATAACACTCTGCCAAAAAGAACGTGTTTCTCCTGGACTAATTGTTCGATTCAGATGTTCGAGTGCTCATTCTTTTCAGAAATCAATGATATAAAATTGTATTGGTCCTGATTGGAACAATGAACATTTCTTCATTCGCCAGAGATTTTTGAAAATCACAAAAATTCTGGATTCTCCACCATTTTGTTTCTTTCAATTATCAGATTTTCAAATGTTCCATTGTGTACTACAGTTCTTTATCTTTGAAATAACTTTTAGAAATCCGAATTCGATTGAATTTTCATGAAGCCTGAAGCAAAATAATAATAATCGTTTATACGAGATTAGCACACTCACTCCATAACAAATTGCAAAGAAATGAGTGTATCTACTGGACTATTCGTTCGATTTCGATGTTCGAGTACTCATTCTCTTCAGAAATGAATAGCCTAAGATGACATCGGTACAGGTTGGAAAAAATCTGATTTTCTTTTTCCCCAGCGGTTTTTGTAAATGACAATACTTTGGTAGAATCAGCCAGTTTGTTTCTGTTCATTATGGAATTTTCAAATATTCCACTGTATACTACAGCCCTTTAGCTATGAAACGACGCCAAGGAATTCGTATTCGGTTGAGAAATGATGAAACCACGAGCAAAATAACCACCCGATACTCAAAATATAATCGCCTAGAATACAATTCGAACTTCTAACTATTCATGGTTATATATCTCTAACTTCCTGCATAATTACAAATCGTGTCAGTTCAACAGAATAATCCTCATTTTTCAACTGTCAAACTGATGCTCTTTGTAATTATACAGGGTGTTTCTTAAGTACGTGTAGAAAATTCAGGAGCATGTTGCTGACGTCTAAATAGGAAGAAAAGTTCGTATAAACATGTGTCCGAAAGTTATCCGTTTCTGAGATACAGAGTGTCAAAGTTGATATCTTATTGGAAGAGTTTAAATTAAAAAAGCAGGTACAAATAAGTAAGAGTCATATTTTGCCTACATTCCAATGTTAAATGAAGAAGAATATTGAATGAAAGAAGAAAAATGCACTGGCGTATTTTTTCTGAAATTCACTAGAGGCGACTTACTAGCCACATGGAAATAATTCGAATGCATCGATTATTTCGAATCCCAATAACTCGAAAACAGTTGCTCGCAGCGACATCTACCAGGAATATATTCTTCACACAAAAGTGTTCTAGAAATCAATTTTTTTACTATGAAACGTTATACAGGTACGCACAAAAAAGTTATTACTTTTCAAAAGACTCAAAAGACATATGTAGGTAACGCCATCCCCACGAAAGAGACTAACATAAAATTTGATATATTCATTGAAAAATACCCCTAGATACCAAATTTTATTCCGATATCACAATTATTTCGAAATTTATTAACAAAAAACAAAAATAAGAATTCAACTTTGACACTCTGTATCTCAGAAACGAATAACTTCCGGACATATTTTTATACGAACTTTTCTTCTTATTTTGACATCAGCAACATGCTCCTGGATTTTCTACACGTACTTAAGAAACACTCGGTATAACAAGCTATCGATGTATAACCTGAATATCTTGCTGTTCTTTAAACTTGGTACTTCACCAGAACATCATATTGATTGTGCTTTTTGTTCATTCTCATTGTCTCTTGAACCGCTTACAGTTTTCTATTTCTAATTGCATATTGATGGATTGCTGCAATTCATATTTCCACTGATGTACCCTGAATCGGAATGACCGACATGTGATTTCTATTTATCAAAAAAAAAGTGTTATGCTTGTTAAGTTTTGAGTTTGGTTAAAGAAGCCATGAAAACAGTAAGAGAATGAATTTGAATCTAAAGATGCATAATTAATAATGCTAAACACCAGGAATCAACCATTACGGCAGCTCTCCTAAATGTCACTATAGTCAGTAGGCGAGCAATGAATTTTGCTGCTATTTTGTTAGAATATTCCGAACTGTTGTAGCTATTAATTCTGATTTCTTGGTAAATCTCTTGTTGATTTCATTTTCATTATTTTTTGTATGAATGAAATGAAGAAAAAGTTCTCACACTCTTGATGGTGACTATTTATTTCATTAATCTCAAAATTTTCACATAATCTGACCTATCACAAGCCAAAGAAACTTGGATTAACGCGAAAACACTTGCCGTCTTTCAATTATGATGTATTCAAGAATAAGGAAGCAAATTCAGTCAGTTCGACATGAAAGAATTATAGCTGTAGATGTCAGAATAAATTGCTTTGGTTATATGGCTTGATAATTTATAAAAAATGTTTATTGTGCTTTTTGAAATAATCTAGCAAAATATCATTCTCTTCTGAATATATTCTCATAATTTTGTCTCTCTTTATCAACTCCAATTGTGTTGCAGTATAGCAATAATATACAGGGTGTCCCAAAATTAGCCTGCCAAACTTCACCAGCGGCTTTTACGACCAAAAATAGAAAGAAAACTCTCAATGAACATGTCTGCTAAGGGAGCTAAGGTCCCCCTGAAAGGAGGCTCCTGATATTTCTTGAGTATTTCCGAAACTCCATGTAATGAAAAGATGCAATTCGGTACACGAACTAAGATTTCCATACCAAATGCAGTGAAAATGAAATCATCCCAAGATTTCCATCAGGAGTGTATAATACAGGGTGGGACTACATTAAATATTGCTCAAAAATTTTTGTATGTATATTTTTCGACTATTTAATCTCGGATTATGAAATTTCACACCTCTATTACACCTGTATTATTATCGAGTGGAAGCAATTCAAAAATATTGTTGCATCTCAGATAATATGCATAACATTGCAATGAGGCGTAGTGGAAATGAAAAAAAAGCACAAAAATTGAAGTAGTTTTTTCATCATCATTTTCCTATTTTTTGCGCTTTTATGTGGTTGTATGGTAAAAAAGTACTTGATTTTTTTAAAGCCACTATGATTTGAAAATTGGCAACGTTATGCAAAGATGTGAGTGCATCAATATTTCTAAATCGATTTCACTCGAAAATGATACATCTGATCGATGCGGAACAGATGCACTTTTTTTTTTGGTCAAACAGTGTGGATTTTCATAATCAAAGATTGAATTGTCGAAAAATATGAATACGAAAAAGTTTTAGCAATATTTAATGTAGTCCCACCCTGTATCATACACTCCTAAATGAAACTTTGAAATGATTTTATGTTCAACGTATTGGGCATGGAAAGTCAAGTCTTGTATCGAATTGCATTATTTTATCACGTGGCGTTTCGGAAATATTCAAGAAATATCATCTTCAGGGCCCCCCTTCTCAAGGGGCCGTAACTCCCTTAGGAGACATTTGTCGACTCATGTTCATTGAAACTTTTCTTCTTTCTTGGCAGGCTAATTTTGGGACACCCTGTATAACACTCGTCCTGATATTCAGAACATCGTTATATTATTGTTGATAATTGGAAATCAATACAATACAAATAAGTAGATTATAGAAACAAATAGCAGAAGTTGCGTTTTTTTTTTGGAATAAATACAAAAATCAATTCACTGATGACCACATTTTTAAAAAATTAAATTGAGAAATTATATGTATAAACTTTATAGAAGTTTATCATACCAATACAAGTTATGAGTCCTTAGTTTTTATCAAGTAGAAAAGTTCCTATCAACGTATTTCATAAAATGCATCCCGTTTGAGCTACAGGGTGTAGAAAGTACGAAAAAACTAGAATAGGATTTTTTTTAACTGAAAATGCCTGTGGTGAAAGAATCAAAAATTAGTCAAAATATCCTAGGTAAGTCAACGGAATAATTCGTTGTTTGTGATATCAAATTTTGGCGCAATACGAAAAAGTTTGGGAGGGTAAAAGAAACTTCTACCCCCAAAACGTTCAACTCTGTAGATATTGAAAATGACTAAAATGTTTTAAACGATGATCTCCTAGAAGATATCAACCATACGAAATTTCGAATTGATATCTCCATAAGTAAGCAAGATATTTTGATTAAAAGAAAAAAATAATTAAACTTCGACCCCCTGTAGCTCCGCTTCACATCGAGATCGGACTCATGTTTAAATGAACTTTCTTGGTTAAAATAATGAGATCTATCACCCATTTTGGATTGTACCTCAAAACCTGAATCACCCTGTATATTCTTTTTTTTTCACAGGTGAAAAAACGCATTTCCTACAAGTTGGCCCGAAGAAATGGATACTTCCTAGTGGGTATGAACGTGAAGCACACAACTATTACAACTTCAGAGCCAGACCAGACGATGTTTTCATCGTTACATTTCCTAGATCAGGTGAGAAAAGTTTGAGTTCCAGATCAAAATTTACTATTCTCTAGCTCTTGAGCGTAGTCGTACCAATCATATAGTATGTTTCTGCCTTTTTATAATGACGGAAAAAATCGATTTTTGGCGAAATGATGCATTTTGATGAGTCCTAAAACGGCTAGCCTTTGAAAAAACCTGCACAGATAGTCTTTTCCCTACGATCACCTATATGAAACACCCTGTATAGTAGCTTCATAAGTATCTCATATCGTCATAGAAATGAGAAAGTAAAAATGAGCAGTGTGGCAATATTCCCGCACGCTCACGTGATCTCTGTTTGGTCTACACTCTACATGATGTATGGATGATTAAAATACTGAATTATTATTATACGTTATGGTCAAGTTATTTTCGGTAATGTTGACGTAATGTTAAGTTGATGGAAAGTTGAAATCAAGTTAGTTTCAATTGAAAATAAAATGGATATCAATGTCGTATTGTCATTTCAATGTTTAATTTGATGTTGAGTTAATATCGAGTTGGAATTAAGTTAATGTTACGTTGATGTAAAGTTAATGTTACGTTGATGTAAAGTTAATGTTACGTTGATGTGAAGTTAATGTTAGGTTAATGTTAAGTTTGAGTCAGAATCAAGTTAATGTTGGGTTACTGTTGAGTTGATGTTGAGATAATGTTGAATTAATGTTGAGTTTATATTAGGTTAATATCAAGTCAATGTTGAGTTAATGTTTAAGTTAATGTTAAGTCAATGTTACGTTAATGTTAAGTTAATATTAAGTTAATATTAAGTTAATGTTAAGTTAATGTTAAGTTAATATCAAGGTAATGTTAAGTTGATGTTGAGTTAATGTTGAGTTGATTTTAAGTTAATGTTAAGTTAATGTTAAGTTAATGTTAAGTAAATGTTAAGTCAATGTTAAGTTGATGTTTAGTTAATGTTAAGTTGATGTTAAGTTACTGTTAAGTTAATGTTAAGGTAATGTTAAGGTAATGTTAAGGTAATGTTAAGGTAATGTTAAGGTAATGTTAAGTTAATGTTAAGTTAATGTTAAGTTAATGTTAAGTTAATGTTAAGTTAATGTTAAGTTAATGTTAAGTTAATGTTAAGTCAATGTTAAGTCAATGTTAAGTTAATGTTAAGTTAATGTTAAGTCAATGTTAAGTTAATGTTAAGTTAATGTTAAGTTAATGTTAAGTTAATGTTAAGTTAATGTTAAGTTAATGTTAAGTTAATGTTAAGTTAATGTTAAGTTAATGTTAAGTTAATGTTAGGTTAATGTTAAGTTAATGTTAAGTTAATGTTAAGTTAATGTTAAGTTAATGTTAAGTTAATGTTAAGTTAATGTTGAGTTAATGTTAAGTTAATGTTAGGTTAATGTTAAGTTGATGTTAAGTTAATGTTAAGTTATTCAATACTGAGTTGATGATAGTTATTATTAACGTCATGTTAAGTTGATGTTAAGTCAATGCTAAGTTAATGTTAATAAGTTAATGTTAAGTTGATGTTAAGTTAATGTTAGGTTATTCAATACTGAGTTGATGATAGTTATTATTAACGTCATGTTAAGTTGATGTTAGTCAATGCTAAGTTAATGTTGAGTTAACGTTTAGTTAATGATGGCATGTTAATATTGAAGAAAAATTGAATAATAATGATAATATCAACTTCATATCGAATATGATTAAAAACATGATAACTATTCTGATTTCACAAACACTCATGACATAATTGAAATATTTGTGATCGGGGGTAGAATAGTGTACAAAACTCTTGGAAAGTGAATTTCCTGCGCTCGTTTCGTTTCCGCACTCGCCGTTCTGCGGCTCGTGCTAAACGTCCACTCGCGCGAAATATGTCACTTTCCACACTAGGTATGTAATATTATACTATTGCATGTTCTGTCTACGCATTTTCAGGGACTACGTGGACTCAAGAATTAGTATGGCTACTTGCGAATGATTTAGACTACCAGAAAGCTGCTGAAATTCCTTTGGGTGATAGATTTCCATTTCTCGAGTAAGTTTTTATTCTTATTTCTTTATACAAAGTGTCCCAGAATAAAGTTCGTGTACTCCAGGAGGTGATTCTACAGATGAGAGTAACAAAAAATGTTCCCATCAACATGTTTCCGAAAGTGCTTCCTAAGGCGTAGGTCCTTAAAAGCAGTTTCCTCCAATTATCTTTGTTACCATTTCTCCTATAATCACGAAATTTGATACAAGGGTAATTTGATCTAACGAATCGTTTCATGGTGAGAAAAACATGATATAACATACAGGGAAGTGGGGAGGTGCGAAACTCGTAACGAATGTTTTTTTTTTATTTCTTGGAGCGCACGAGAGGAAATTCCAATAATGTTCGTGGTACATCGCGTTTACTTAGGGATGACAGGAAGAAGAGGTAGGTGTTGGTTTTTTTTGACCTCTTGGAGGTTATAAGTTTTGGGGAATACTTCCATTGGCAAAGAATCCCAAAGCTATGCCGTTCTATAGACAAACGAGTTTTGTTTTGAGTGTTGTTCGACATTTTCCAAGGTTAACGACGAAAGGATATGCTGACTGGGCATGTCAAATTCTGACTGGTATTGTGTGATGGAATAGCAGAGATTCCTGAGGAACGTTTCACGTGGAAGTATCTATAGAAAAGTGGAAGGGCGCTGACTTTTCTACGGTGTTCTAAAAAGGTCAAAGAGTTGGTGAGTGTAGCATCACCCACCAGGCGAATGGCTCTTCTATGGATGGAATCTGAGAACATCAGCGTATGTTTGGGTGCTGAACTCCATACACGAGAACAGTATTCTGAAACTGGTCTCGTACCTGTGCATTGTCGATCATGAGAAGCTGTTGAGGTGTGAAGTAGCTTTTCACACGGTATGGAATAAAAATCCGAGTTTTTGTTAAGCAGCTTAGGCGATGGATCTGACATGATTATACATAGATATAGTTGACTTGGTGGGAATGTTGGTATCAAACATTCTTATATCAGGCATACTGAGTCTTTCTCGAGAAAATACAGGCTCGAGTTTCTGCGGCGTTGAATTCAACTAGGTTGTTGGTTCCATAGGCTGTCATTTTAGGAACACTTTTCTCAATTCCATCTGTAGAGTTACCTCCCGGAATATACCAATCTCTTGAAACGCACGGAAGGAAATCCCTATAATCTTCGTGGCTCATCGTGCGTACCTAGAAAGCATAGTGAGAGAATGTAGGAATCGTTTTTTCGCTTGACTTCTGGAGATTGTAAGTTCATGGGAGTTCGTCCAGATATTCCTTAGTTCATTTACATTTTTCCAATAATTATCATGTAAGGTATAAAAAAGATGGAAGCGATAGAAAACAATAGTTGTATGATATAATGACACAAAAAATCATAAGAAAATCCGTACCTATAGAAAATTTTTGAATGTCTGGTACTTCTGGTGCTTCAGTCCTTGTCGAAAGTAAACGCTCAGGTTCGACTATCAAAACCTAATTTACGAAATTTCTAGGCAAACTTTTGAATTCAAATAATTCAATATATCAACTACGAAATAGCCACAATGCTCAAAGTGGAATAAATCTTTAATAAATACAAAAAGCTCAAAGGCATTTCCACAAAATGTTCATAAAATGAACAACAATGGTGGATTTCGGGAGAAAAAGAACTACTTTCCTGCCAAATGCCACGCAGAACATTGAATTACATCCTACCGAAATCTCTGCATCGACTCGTATAAACGAATACTGTTACAAGTGAATCTTTCCTGAATGCCTATTGATTTCGATTTAGCCACGCCACGCTAGACACCTACAGACCGGTTTCGAGCCCTTTGACTTTCATCAGCGCAGGCCAGTCTCCAGCCAGCAGTAACAAGACCGCTGACTAAGCGTAGCCTGGCCAAACAAAAATCAATGCCGATTTGACGATTATTTCCTCTGAGGAAATATATAATGCCGATTTGATTTCTTCTTCTGAGGAAACTATTTATTTGTTTTCATGTGTAAGCATTCTTTGTGTTTTGCTATGTTAGGTACATATAAATATCCGTTTTCCCCTATTTTTCAGTGTTCCATATAATTATCATATTAATTTTACAACACCACCTACTCATTTCATCAATCGCTCCGATTTGGAAACATACAACTTCGGTTGAAGCCAAGATCAACTAACATATTTTGATATATTGAAGAGTTACACATATTTCAGGAATACTGATAGTTGCTAGTTTGCGTAAACAATAACTAACATATAGTTTAGCTAAATTTCCAAGTCATTTTTAAACTGTCAATATCATTTTTATTCCTTTCTCCTTCTCAGATTCAGCGCCTTCGTTCATAAAGAAACTAAAGCCACGTTTTTAGAGGAACAAAAACCTGATTCAGAAAATTACCGCATCGTACAAAATTTGGATTACCCTGCCTGGAAGATATTCGAGGACTCCACTGAAAGAAGATTCATCAAAACGCATCTACCTTTCAGTTTGCTGCCGTCAAATTTGTTGGACATCGGTTGCAAGGTAATAGTTATTCATGCATAAAATAGGATTTTTCACATACTTATATACATTATACATACTTATATGCATTATACATACTTATATGCATTATACATACTTATATGCATTATACAAATTTATGTGACTTATATGCATGCCTCCTCCTGGAAATGCACTTTGAAGATTTCGATCGTGACTATCGATACTAATACTATAAAGGTGTAAGATTTGTTTGTTTGATTGATTATTTGTTCGTTTGTGTTGAATAGGCTCCAGAAGTACTAAACCGATTTCAAATAGTAGTTTTTCTAACAAGTGCGGAAAGACACTTTCCGCATGAGTTAGGAACAATATATTTTCTACAAGCGTAGGAATTTGATCGATTTGTTCAATCAATTATTCCTGCAAATAGGAACAACTAACAATTGTGATATATTCTCTTTTATATATCTTCTAATAATTAGTGATGAATCTATTATGTGTACCGTTTGAAGCATTGTGTAGGGAAGCTTATTGCGGGAGCCAGCATGCCCATGGTGTTTGGCCTCTAGGTTTCAGACATTTCTTGGAAATAAGCCAAAAATACTTCTTCATTTGGTCTTTTCACTTTTTTACTATTGCACCATTCAATAAATCCCGTGTAGTGCTTCTCATACCTTTTGGCAATAACTGATCTGTATCGCATCTGTAGCTGGAAGTTTCCCAGCGCAATTCTACTGAATTGAATATGACAGTAACGCTATAGGGGGATTCATATAACAATCATTTATTATTTTTCAATATTTCTTCATTTTCACAATAAATAGTGCAATTTGATGGATGATTTTGTACAAACTTACTAAATACTGCAACAAGGAAAAAAGAAAATTTTCATATTGTGTTACCCACCACTCATATTTTGCGAGAATATTATATAAATATTTTTTTCTACAAGCGTGCTTGATTCACCCTATACCCGCACGCAATTTAGTTTGGGAAGTGTCATTTTCCCGCAACATTGCGGGAAAAACAGAGATATGATAATATGGCAAAATATAAGTGGTAGGTGATGAAATATGAGAGTTTGAGTTTGTTTGTTGCAGTATTAAGTATGTATGTTCAGAACCATCCATCAAATTGCACTATTTATTGTGAGAATTAAGAAATATTGAAAAATAAAAATTATTCATTATTAAAATCCCCCTATAGTTTTGGATTGATCTGATGAGAAACGATTATTGTTGTCATGCCAATCAAACCTCAAATGAGTTTGTAATTGTCAAAGTGACAGACACAGACACGTTACTGTCATTTTCGATTCAGTGGAATTGCCACAATGTGATCAAAAACTTCCAGCTATAGGGATGCGATACAAATGCGTTATTGCCAACGAAGTCTTAAGAAAGGTATAGGAAGCTATACACGCGTTTTATTGAATGGGGCAACAATAAAGAAATGAAAATTCCGAATAAAGAAGAAGTATTTTTGGCCCATTTCCTAGAAGTGTCTGAAACCTAAAGACCAAACACCTCATGGGCCTGCTGGCTTCCGCAATGAACCTATACACAATGCGTCAAACTGTAAGTTCACAATAGCTATTACTAATAATCAGTAGATAGAGAATATATTTCTCTTGTAAGTTGTTTCTATATGTATGAATAATTAATTGAACAAATCAATCATTTTCCTAAGCTTGTAGAAAAAATATTGTTTCTAACTCATGCGGAAAGTGTCTTTCCCGTACTCGACTGTTTGCCCGAACTCCGCTTCGCGTCGTTCGTGTCAACGACAGTCGCGTGCGGAAAAGAATCACTTTCCGCACTTGTATGGAAAATTACTATCCCCGCACTAGTGTGGGAAAACTTTTCCCGCACTACTTCCCAAACTAAAGTGCGTGCGGGTATAGGGTGAATCACGCACCCTTCTAGAAAATATTCTTTACCATTGACAGCCGACATTATCCCTGATGAATACAGGCAACTTTTCATCGCGGGAAAATGCTTAATGATAGTAAAAAGGTAGAACGAATTATCCTTCTGTACTTATCATTTTCACATAACTTCTAAACGGCTGAACCGATTGGGTTGAAATTTTATATGGGTATTTCGATGGTTTCCTGGATGATTCAAAAATACAATTGGACGCGGTAGGTGACGCTGCTGTCGGTACGTCAACTACTAAATGGTTTGACCGATTGGGTTGAAATTTTCAATATGTATAACGGTAAAACAATAACAAAAAATACAAAAGATACTGAGATAATGAAAATAAAGGTGTGAGTAAGTATATAATAGTAGCTATATAGGTGTGCACAAAATATTGAAGGATAAATAATGAAAAAATATGTACTGTAGCTACGGGCATAGCTCAGAACGACTGGAACAAAAAGTCTTATTTTTTTAAATGGGTACACCAACTTTTCAATATCCGTTTGTTTTCTTAATCTCGATAGACCGCCTATAATATAAATTCCCACGTTCATTATTTGAAATTCTTGTTAAAATTAAATCTGTGTCAGATTATTGTATCACTACAAACAGATTTCAACTAAGCCACATAAAGAACCAAAGTTGAGCAACTCTCTTGTTCGTCATCTATATTCATATAAGTACCTAGTCCACAGTTTATTGTATGTTTGAAAATCATATTTAAATACTCAGCCCAGTTTATAAGCCACTTACCAATAGCTTCCAGTGATAATTCCGAAAATGTATTTCGAACCAATTAGGAGGCTTCTTTTTGATTACGTTGCATATAGCAACGGGTGACTATCGCGATAGTTTTGTTCGGTCCTTTTAACTAAATGGAATTAATAAGTGCCTTATATCTATTGGCAAAGGTCACTCAGTTCCATTTGAAACTATATGTAGACATTTAATATCAGATGTTATGGTTGAAAATGAATCAATGTTTTTAATGTTCCTGAATTTCAGTAATAAACCTTAGTTACTAACAAGTAGAATCGAATCCTATTGTAAAAATATATAGTGCGTCATATTCAACTGAACCCATCGGAAATATGTGTTTTCAAGTTTCATTTGAAGCTATGTAGACATGTAATATCAGATGTTATGGTTGAAAACGAATTGATATTTTTAATGTTTCTGTAATTTCAGTAATAAACCTCAATTACTAGAAAGTAAAATCAACTTCTATTGAAAAAAAAATAGTGCGTCCTATTTAACTAAACCAATCGGAAATATATGTTTTTTCAAGTTCTATCTAAATTTGATACTATGAAAACATTGGATTTTAGATAACAAATTTGTTCCTGCACTGATGAGAGCTAAAAGCTCGAAACCGGCCTGCAGGTAGTCACTTAGGCGCAGCTCGGCGTTTAGGAAACGCAATTTTATTCGTCTATACGAATTATTTCATACTGATTTCAGGAAGATGTAATTTAATGTTTTGCGAGGCATATAGCCAAGAAAGTAGATGTTTTTCCCTCTTCGTCTATCAATTTCGTTCATGAACATTTGTGTAAATGACTTCGAGCTTCGCGTATCAATTTAAATACCCATAGATATATTGAAAAAATATCGATTTTTTTCATCTTTTGACAACGAACGGGTGTGCTGACTGGGCTTGTCTAGTTTGTCTGACTGGTGTTGCTATAGTGTTGAAATTATAGTGGAGATTTATTCGCATGGAAGTATTTAGAGAAAACTGAGAGGTTGCCAACTTTTCTATGTTCTAATGAGATCGAAGAACTAGCGATTGTGGCATCACCCACCAGGCGAATGGCTCGAGCATCAGCGTATGTTTGGGTGCCGAACCCCATATGCGAGAACAGTATTCTAAAACTGGCCGCGTATCTGTGCTTTGTAGACCATTAGGAGCTGCTGAGGTGTGAAGTAGATTTTTGCACGGAACAAGAATTCGAGTTTTTTCGAAACACCCTTCGCTTGCTGATAGAGACACCAAGCATAGATATAGTTGCATTGGTGGGAATGTTGGTATCAGACATTGTTATATCAAGGATCATACTGAGTTCCGCATTTCTAGAGAAAATACAGGCTTGAGTTTTTGCGGTGTCGAATTCAACTAGGTTGTTGGTTCCCCAGGCTGTGATTCCATCAAGATCTTCATTGACAGCCATGACCTGCCTTCGCCGTGAGTTATTGGTTTCCTGTGAAGAAATGAGAATTCTGGAAGAGAATGCAGTATAGAGAGTACTATCATCTGTAAAACTGTGGATAGGGCAAGTCGTTGCTCCCAACAGATCATTGATATATATAATTATATCATTATATATCATATATTGATATATATAAAGTAAGAAATTGATCCTTCTGGAACACCAGAATTGATGGCAATGGTATCAGACGATGTCGATTCTGAACTTCAACAAAGCCCCAAACATTGTCATCCTTACGAGGAAAGAATGGAATGACACAACACCTGGCGTGCCTCCTTCCAATGAGTCAATCTGGTACACGGATGGCTCTAAATTTGGGGGCAGTTAAGATGCAGGGGTATACAATGAAGGAACAAGAAAAGAAATCTCGGTTCCTTTGGGCGAATATGCCTCAGTGTTCCAGGCTGAAGTATTCGCAATACTTACCTGTGTCCAAGAAATCCTGATTATAAGAGGTCGTAGACCAATCACTATATGTTCGGACAGCAAAGCTGCAATACTGGCTTTGCAATCCAATAGGATCACAACCAATTTGGTGTCCGAGTGCAGAAAGGCCTTGGAAAACCTGGCAAAATCAAGAAGATTCAGCCTCATGTGGGTCCCAAGACACTCGGGGATCCCCGGAAACGAGGAGGTAGACAGGCCAAGAACGGTTCAGGACAGATCCTGGTCGGACCGGAACCAATCTTTGGAATACCAAACAGTCTGGCAATGTCCTCCATAGAGGGACAGCTGCAAAAGTAATTCTTCAAAATATGGCAGGACACACCAGGAATGAGACAATCGGAGCTCCACATTAAGGAACCTTCGAAGAGGCTCACGAAAGAGGTTTTATCCCTCAACAAGCGAGACCTCCAAAATAGTAGTAGGGCTCCTAACGGGGCACAACTAAATCAATATACAGGCACCTAGAGCTTATTGGGATCAAAGATGATCCCCTTTGCAGATGATACCTGGAAGATGACGAAACGTCATCGCATGTCCTCACTGAGTGCCCAGCACTGACACATCAGAGGAGGGCTGTCCTTGGCAACATAATTTTGATGCCAGAGGACGTGAAAGAGATTCAGCTGAGGAAGCTGCTGAACTACTCCAAGGGAGTCGGCATACCCACCTGAATGTCGGAACATGTGGGCGCACAATGAGCCCGAAAAAGGAGGCCTACGTGCAGGGGTGTTCACCCGCCCACCAGTGCTTCGAAGAACATGAAAGAAAACTCGATGAGATATGCCATAGCTGAGGCGGTATGCCCTATGATGGTAGTTTGTGAAGGAGTCCTTGGTGCCAAACACGGTCGAATACTTTCGATATGTCTAATGCCACAGCTAGATATTTCTCTAATGAAGCTGGCCATATATTGGTGACGTAGGCAAGTAGATCTCCAGTTTATCTTCGGTGGCGAAAGCCATATTGTCTTTAATTGATGATTCCTGAACTTTCCAGATATTTGATGAGCTCAATGTTGATGGCTTTCTCCATCACTTTGAATATTACTGATAACATTGTATTCCCTTTATTGGGGATTGATTGTAATCTAGCCATCTTCCAGCATGATGGAACAATACTCACTTTGTACGAGCTGGTGAATAAATTGCAGAGAATTGGTGTCAATTCTGGTGCACATTCTTTGAGGATAATGGTTCCCCAGGCTGTAATTCTGGAAAGGTATTCATTGACAGCATTGACTTGCCCACGTCGTGAGTTCTTAGTTTCCCGTGAAGAAATAGGAATTCTGGAGGAGACCGCCGTATGGAGAGTACTATCATCTGTAAAGCTGCGACAAGTGGTTGCTCCCAATCATTGATATGAAGTAGGAACAATGTTGGTGCCAAAATTGATCCTGGTGGAACGCCGGAAACGATGGTATAATAAATAGAACCGGTCGAATGCCTTCGATATATTCAACGCTACAGCTAGAGATTCCCCATGTCTTTCTAATGAAACTTGCCATGTCTTTCTGATGAACCTTGCCATGGGTAGTATGGGTGACGTAGGCAAGTGAATCTCCAGTTGATCTCCGATGGCGAAAGCAATATTGTCTATCAATAATAATTCCTGAGCTTTCCAGATATTTGATGAGCTCAATGTTGATGGCTTTCTCACTTTGGAGATAACATATATGGAGTTCATCATCCAAAATATACTCTGCTGCTTTCAGATTCTATTTAGAGGCGATCCATTTGCGCGGTTGGTGATGTTACACTCACTAATATCTCGACTTTATTAGAACACCGTAGGAAAATAAGGTGACCTTTCACTTTTCTATGAATAGTTTTACGGGAAAGGTCTCTATGCAATTATTCCATCACTACAAATTCCACCCATCAGACATACTTGATCAGCCCATTCAGCACGTCCTTTCGTTTTGAACCTCAATATATATCTAACAACTCCTCATCCATCAATACTCATATATTGATGTATAGAATCTTGGAAATTATTTGCCGAAGGAATTATTTCCAAGAACTCAATAGCTTCCGAAAGTTCAAATGATATCTAATCCTCAAATATAATAGGAACTCCCTCTTGTGCACTCCAAGAGATGAGAAAGGCAAAGGATTCCAAAGCTTCGCTGTTCTATAGACTGAAGAATTTTGGGAAATATCATGTCAGATCCATCGCGAACGCTGCTTCACTGAAGCGAACAACTCTCTACCGAAACTTGTTCTTCTAGAGAACGGCATATTTCTGTAAATCCTCGCCTCTTTCTATAGGGTACGCACCATATTCGACGAACGTAATAGGGATTTCCGCCCGTGCGCTCCAAAATATATCAAAAGATGTGCAGACTGAAGATGGAATGGAAGTATCTATAGAGAAGTGAAAAGTTCAAAAAATGTGCTGCACCTATCGTATTATAGTATCTAACTCTTTTGTGCATTTTTTATGTTTCCAAATTAACAAAGAGATGTATTTTTTTATTTTTTCCAGGTAATTTACGTTGCAAGAAATCCCAAGGATTTAGCAGTTTCGTATTACCATTTGAACCGATCATACAGAACCCAGGGGTACATTGGTGATTTCACCAAGTTTTGGAGTTTTTTCGAAAGAGACTTGGGTAAGTTCAGGAACGTAATAGTCCTGATTATAACAACTCCACAATGATTTTGTTTCCCACTGATGAAATGGAAGTTATTGAAATAATTCAGTCTTTAAAGAAAACATGCTCAGATCCCGAAGGTTTAATAACTAAAGATATATTCGAACTAAAAAATATTTTGGCCAATCCATTATCAAAATTAATCAATAAATGTTTTACCAGTGGTATATTTCCACAAGAATTAAAGCATGCTTCATTAAGACCAATTTACAAAAGTGGAGATACTCAAGATCCAGAAAATTATAGACCAATCGCCTTATTGAGCATTTTTTCCAAAATTGTTGAGAAGATTCTTAAAAAACGCATTGTAGATTTCATAAATAGAAAATATAGCTTTGACATAAATCAATTTGGTTTTCAAGAAAATAGTGGCACACAAGCGGCAATATTACAAGTAATACAAGCAATACAAAAAGGACTTGATACCGGAAATTATGTGATAGCAATTTTTGTTGATCTCAAGAAAGCTTTCGATACAGTAGACCACATAACACTTTTGGAAAATTTAGAATCAATGGGACTCAGAGGCATGATAAGGAACCTTTTAGATTCGTATCTTCAAAATAGCACAATCAGTACCAAATCTACCAACTCAGAGTCTCATAGACTACCGATGACTAAAGGTGTCCCTCAAGGATCTGTTTTAGGACCAATTTTATATTTATTATATATTCAAAATATCACGAAAATTTATACAGAATGTAATTACACTATTTATGCAGACGATACGGTACTTTTATATGAAAATAAAAATCCTATCATTTTAGAAAATATAATAAACAGAGACTTGATGAAATTTGAAAATTGGCTGCATTCAAACCTCTTATCAATAAACACGGATAAAACTGAATATATGATTTTTCAACAAAAAATAAACAAAATATAAATTTAAATCTCAGAATTAAAAATGAATCTTTGAAACGAACTAATGAGAAAAAGTATCTTGAGATTTGGTTTGATGATAAATTGAAGTGGGACAAACATATAAATGTTTTGAAGAAAAAAATATCTCCTATTATTGGAGCCCTGAGAAGATGTCCCAAGCTGAATAAAAAAGTTGCAAATATAATTCTATATTCTCATATACTCAGTCGTATTAACTATTTGATAAATGTTTGGGGATACTGTTCAAAAAACAATTTTAATAAAATATCTGCATTATATAAAAAGAGATTGAAAGTACTGTATCGTTTACCATATGATACACCAACAAATCAATTATATAAAATAACTGAATCATTCTCATTAGAAGAAAATCGAAAGACTGAAAATTACATACAATATCATAAATAAAAGATTGAAATCTAATTTTATTTTAACACGAAACAATGAAATTCATAATTATCAAACTAGACAACATGGTTTATTTCATCTTGATATCGCTAATACTTCTATAGGCCAAAAAAGATTCACCCACGCTGCTCTCTTGGAATATAACAAATTACCAGATAATATAAAAAATTGCAGAAATACAATAAAATTCAAATACCATCTTAAAAAATTTATCATTTCTGAACGAAATAGATAACTTTTTTTTTTTTTCAACTTTTGATTCATATTCAAATTGATTTTTGCTCACCAATATGAAATGATTTGTCAAAATTTAATAATTAATGTTTTCAAATATTTTATTATTCATCAGTTTATTATAATTGTATAGTTTTAGGTATTATTGTTAACTATACTTCCTTATACCAGAACTTGATTCTGACTGGAAGTAACATTTTCAATAAATAAATAAATAAATAAATAAATAAATAATTTACGATACGAGTATCGTTAAGACTCATATTAATGAGTTTACGATACGAATATAGTACAATATTCTACCTACTACCAAAAAGCTAATTTTTAATCAAACATTTTCAATATTCCTTGAACTCACGATTCACTAGGAATATGTAACAAGCAAGCGTTGCAAGGGTTGGGCGTATGGTTGTTGTCATGAAGCTATTGTGTTCTCGGTTGTCACTCATTCGGCGAACTGTCAACTTTGACGCGTTAATTTCAATTCGAAAAAAAATTCATCGGCATGAATTCGGATCAGGAAAGTTTAGATTCCGATATAGAAATTGCAGCGAATGCAGCAATCGAGACTTTAGTACTTGATAAATCCCAGGATAGTTACGAAAATGAATTTGAGAAATTTTAAATATGGTGCTGTCCAAAAAAGTACCTTATCGTGGTTTATCAGAGACAATTTCATATTTCATTGGCTTATTTTGCCAGTAAAGCTGAAAAACAAAAGCCATCGACATTATGGACACACTACAGTATGTTGAGAACAACCATTTCAATGAAGAAAAATCTGGATATTAGTCATCATTCACAGGTGTTGGCTTTTTTGAAGCGGAAAAGTGAAGGCTACAATTTTTGTAGATATTGGATATTATAATTGTAGATTATTACCTGATAAAAGTATTAATAAATACAAAAAGCTCAATGTCATTTCCACACAATGTTCATAAAATGAACAGCAATGGTAGATTTCGGGAGAAAAACAACTACTTTC